GGGGGTCTGGCAGCGGGGAGGGGGATGGGGAGAGTCACTGGTGTGTAAAAGGTTTTTGACACTTAACCTGACTCTGTGTCCATCGTCCCTGCAGATGCCCGGCGTCACCGTGAAAGACGTGAACCAGCAGGAGTTCGTGCGGGCCTTGGCTGCTTTCCTCAAGAAGTGAGTCCTTCCCTGCTGGGAAGAGCAGAGCCCCAAGGGAGCGGGGGGGGGTGGCACCCCTTGGGGACCGCCAGGTCCGAGTCTGCACTGCAGAAGGGATTTGGAGGTTGAGCTCTGGAGGCCCCTTCCAGCCCGGCATCTCTACAGCCCTCAGGCTGTGGCGGCGCAGAATGGCTGTGGGATTCTCTTTGAAATCCCAAGCTGCAGCACCCGTGCAAGGCTCTCATGGCACCCCAGTTGTGAATCACTGAGTTAGGGTGAAGCGAGCGGTGTCTGCTCTGCATTAGCACCCCCAGTTATGTCACGGGGGGGGTGGGGGGAGGTGTCAAAATGGAGGCGAGTGGAAAACATTTCCTCTGCCGCAAGCTGGCCCTGCACAGGGAAGGAGTCCCATCAGTGATCTGCGTGTGAGAAGCGCTTCGCCCGCCCCTCGAGCCTGGCCGAGCACCAGTGCATCCACACACGAGAGAAGCCTTGTTGGTGCTAGGCATGTGGGAAGCACTTCACGCACTCCTCCAGCCTGGTCCGCCACCAGCGCATCCATGCAGGGGAGAAGCCATAATCAGTGCCCCGAGTGGGAAGAGCTTCACCCAGACCTCCCACCTGGCTCGGCACCAGTCCCTCAGTTGCCCCTGGGCGCCCTGCTGAGCTTCTGCTGGCTGGGCCCAGTCCTAGCAGGCATTGTGCGCGGGTGGTGATGGTGTGGCGTAATCTGCGGCTGCTTCTCAGGGGGTGGTGGTGATGAGCCCCTGATCTGTCTTGCAGGTCAGGTAAACTCAAAGTACCTGAATGGGTCGACACGGTCAAACTGGCCAAGCACAAGGAGCTGGCCCCATACGATGAGAACTGGTTTTACACCCGAGCCGGTAAGTAGCCAGGGCTGGGGTTGAAGGGGGGTATTTACTGTATAACAGCCCTCGTACGCTGGGTCCTGAACCTTTTGAATGGTGGTGGCTTCTGACTGTTCTGTGGTGGGAGTTGTTGGGAACTGAACCCAGCAGGAGACCTGGGTTTGAGTCCTTGAGGCACCGAACGTCCAGACTCAGGTTGGATTTGATGTCAATGGTGTAAAGGGAGGGTTGGAAGGTCTGGGCAGCCCCTGCTCCTCCATGCTCCTGCCTAGACATAGGCGTCTCACGCATGCACCATGATTCAGAAGGATCGATGGTTGCTTGCCTACAAGTCTGTAGTTGACTGCAGGTTACGAAATTTAGGGATGAGCTGCTGCTCCCGTCAGCTGGAGCTCATCTGTAGTCCCAGGCAGCTGATGGGAGAAGCTGGAGCCATTTGAAATAAGCTGGAGTACATCAGTGGTCCCAGGCAACGCCCTGCTGTGGCTGCATGGGACCCTGGCAGGTCCTCAAGGGATAAGAAACCTGGCCCCGGGCTCTTCTGGAATGATTTTGGGCAGCTAAGCACATTGCAGTTACAGCAGACTTCCCATCCACACTGACTGGTGTTTTGTCTTAATGTCAGTTCTTCTCAGGGGCTGCATTTGTGAATCATGCGAGATATTTTGCAGAGCTGTCATTAACTGTGAACTGGCTCGCCCATAATGCATATGGGCTGCGACTATTAAAGAATAAATAAGGCGTATAATGGGAGAAAATCTAGATACTTGAACTAGTGAGTTGTGTTGAATTACCAGGAACGAGGGAGCGATTCCGGTAATTTCGGTGGCTCTGTTGATCTATTCGAGGGAAATAGAGCAGGCTGTGTGAGAGGCTGCTGATAATCTTGTATCACAAGAGTGATGGGCTGGATCAGTGAAAGGCCTTAACCAGCAAATACAGAAAGAATGGAGGTTAATGTTTAGGTTCTTGCATGTATGCACAGGTAACCCTTCCACTCTACGCCACGCCAGCTGAGCTGGAAGATTGTTCCTAGTTCTGAGCATTTGCTCTCCCCCAAGTGGTCTAGATCTTTCTTTAAGCAACACAGGTAACCAGAGGTCAAGGAGGGGTGTTCTTTGTGGAGAGATCGAAGGAGTTGGGTTTGTTTCTCTTCAATAAAACTGAGAAGAACTCAAGTCTTTACATGATAAAAGGCTACTGCAGAAGGGAAGGTTATGAAGTATTTTCAGTGCCCACTGGAGTAGGGGAAGAAGTAATGGAGCAAGGGAGACATTTGAGCAAAGACTATTTAAGGGCTGAAGTAGATATGTAGGGAGAACTGTGAGACCTGCTGTTCAAAAACTGTCTCCAGTTAGCTCAGTGGAAGAATTGGCCCACCAGTTCTCAGTCCCTTCCACTCCCAATCTTTATTATTCTGCAGTACTGAGAATTAGTTCTGGGAGGAATTCAGATGTCAAAACTAATGTGTTGGGTTTTTTTTTCCTTGAGCTATTGGAGAGCCATTTCTTCTTAGTTTACCTGTGGTACAAAGAATGATATCTGAGTACCTCCCAAAACTCTAAAGAACTAAAGGGTTGGGGTTTTTTTTTTCTTGAGCTAGTGGCTATTGGACTCCATTTCTCCTTGGCTTTTTGATGTGATTATTATGGAAAGGTGGGGTCAGACTAATGGCCTTTGTATTTTGCAGAGAAGTTGGTAGTGTATCTTGTCTGCCTGGAATATACAGAGGTTCTGGCTGACTTGTTGATTTGAGAGCGGCTTTTGAACTTGCCCAGTAATGGGCTGATTGAATTCTCCAGTAACAAGTCAAGAGTCTGACAACTGAAGAACATGCAATATTCAGCATGTAATTCCCAGTAGCTCTAGCCTTCCAGATCTGTGTAAATCATAAACACAGGTTGGAAAACTGCCTTCAAGCAAGGCCCTGGGGACTCCCAGCCTGCAGGCATAAATGCCTCGGGCTGTGTTCTTGTCATATTTCATGAGCCAAGAAGGTTGGGTTGGTCAGTGCTTGGATGAGGGAGGTTTGAAGGAAAACCTAAGTAGTGTTGGTGCAGGCTACCCTGCAGAAATGACTCCTGTGTGTCCAGCTGCTTTCTGGAGGTAAAATAAATGCCCTGGCCCCATACCTAGGAGCTAGGGTATCCTGGTGACATCCCCACTTGATGATTGTATTTGCCTACCTTTGGCATCCAGCTGACACTATAGGAATCCTGTAAATTTACAGTGAACTGTCACCTGCTGCTAAGCAGCAGCTGCGTTCCACCTGGGGCAAGCAGCTGCACTCCAGTGGGTGGAGCGGGGTTGGGTGTTGCTGTGGAGATGGGTCTGAATAACGAGACTGTTTTGTTGCAGCTTCCACAGCCCGCCACTTGTACCTCCGTGGCGGTGCTGGCGTAGGTTCCATGACCAAGATCTACGGAGGCCGTCAGCGCAATGGGGTGATGCCCAGCCATTTCAGCCGGGGCTCCAAGAGTGTTGCTCGGAGGGTATTGCAAGCTCTGGAGGGGCTCAAAATGGTGGAGAAAGACCAGGATGGGTGAGTCTCAAAGCAGTGGTGCTTTGCGCATTGAAGGGAAGGTGGGAAAGTCTTGTAATCACCAGACCTCACCCCTCCGGGGAAATAGTGAAGGGGAGAGGCAGATACCAGAACAACCCCAGGGAGTTAAATTCATTGCTTCATGCAGTCTGATCAGTTTGCTTGATGTCTAGCTCAAGGCAGGGTCTGCCCTGAGGAGGGCTTGGGGCATTTGATCATTTTGAACCTCTGCTGATTCTTTGTTGTTGCTTATTTCCTTTCAGAGGTCGCAAACTCACTCCTCAGGGACTGGACAGAATGGGGGGACAGGTAGCTCTTCCCCTGCCACACCTTCTACCCCCTGAGCCACTTAACACTGACTGTGTTTTGTCTAAAATGAACTTAGTGAAGGGGGAAGTCTGTTAGGCTTATGTGAGTTGAGGAGTATTTTGCACTAAAGCTGTTGCCCTTGTTATACAGCAAGAGGATTATAATTCAGTTCCAGCCCTAGAAAGACCAAGACCCTCAACCTCAGCAACGGCAAGATTTATGGTGCTTAAAACTGCACCTCAGGAGCTGGCCTTATCAGCAGTACCAGTATCACTAGTTATTCGATTGCCCTGTTAGCACTAAGTAACCCCTAGCTTGTTCACTTTGAATGGCAAGGCATTTATTCCAGGGTCTGAACACTCAGCCCTAAACAGCATCTAATGCGGCTTAACTTGTAGGGCTGTACGTATTCATACTGACTTATGAAGCAGTGGGGTTGTGTTTAAATAGGACTCACCTGCCATTCTGTCTCTTGAATGTGGCACTCATCCGTTTTCCTTCTCTTCCAGGTGGCAGCTGCAAGCAAGAAACATTAGAATGAGCAGGTTCACATAATAAAAAATCAATTTGCATTCCACGTGTGGGAGCATTCATTTCCAATGATTTCCGAGTGCTCTGGGACTCTGCACTAAGTGTGGAGACTGCTGACTGAGCAACTAAAATAGCTGGGCAAGGCCCCTGAATCTCCTGAGATGGGGAAGGGGGTAGCAGTGGTTTGTCTGACTTCCTCTGTTTCTACCTTGGTGATTTTTAACTCAACTTTCCAGCTGCAGAAGTCTCTTCGAGAGGGAGTAGGGCAAGCCAGCTCTTGAGAATAAACTTGTACATGGAGGATGATGCACACTCCTGGCCTTTCATTGGGGTGGAGGGGGGAGATAAAACCTCAGCTGCCTTATTGCCTACACTCATCCAGCCCAAAGAATCTGAGTAATGTGCTATCAAGCCTGAAATCTAAGGAGAGATTGGGAAATGGTGCATGTAGCATGACATGCTCCTGAAGCAGCCTTGGGTTGTAGGTGATAACTTGGCTGTCCTTAGGGGCTTTGTGCTAAAGGCAGCCTGGATGGCTCCAAGACGGTATTTAACCTCTTGTGTCATTCATTGGGCCTGGTCTTTACTGGGACCAGTGTCAGCAGTGTTGCCCCATTAGGCCTCAATCTAAAAACCTAATGTGCAGCTGATGCTCCTGCCAGGTTGTGGGGAGGAGCAAAGCATGTGCTGGCTTTTGTCTGGGTTATCTGGGATTTCTGGAAGTGTTGGGTCAGCCACCCATGTTCAGTCTAAACCATACTTTGCATTTTTGATTGCCAAAACTTTCAATCCAGGAGTTGTTTCCTATAAAGCATCCTCTGCCACAAAACAGGTCCTGGACCTTTTGCTCATACCCGGAGGGGCAGTTCAGAGGCGAGGTTTCTACAGCAACCACCTTTCTCTGCCACCTCCTGTGTCCTGAGCAAACCCCTCTGTTGTCTCATGATGGTAGGTTATCAATACTCATTTAAACCTTGCCACAAACTACTTAACAAGGCTGTGTGTTAACAGAGCACTTGAGCTGACTCTTAAAACGTGCACTTGCAGAGGCTTGAGGACAACGCATGAGAAATGTCAGCTGTGGGAAGCATTTCCTCTTTTTAGAGCTGAAGTGACTTAAACCAGAGGGTTTTGAATTAAATTGTCATCTCAGCCCTAACGAGAGCTTTGCTTGTACTGCGGTGAAATCCCAGAGTAGTCTGCAGCTTGCTGTTAAGCTGAGCTTCTACAGTGCCTCCAGGGAGCTCCCAGCACTTTACAAACTCAATTAAGCTTTGCAGCACCCCTGGGAGATGAAGATCTAATCCCTGCCATATAGAGCGGAGGGGTGAGAAACTGGCATTGCTGAAGGGCTGTGCCTGAAGCTTGCATGATAAATTAGCCCCGGAGACCGAAGAAACCAGGTGTCCTGTCACCTGAGTCCCGTCCTCTGCCTTCCTGCCATCTTCCGAGGGTAATCCCCGGGTGGCTTCAGACCATGCTCTCAGCTGCATCGTTTTCTGAAGCAGATTCTCTCCCTTGCATCGTGGGGCTCCTACATTAGTTGGCTGTCTTGATGGTCTCACTAGTTTAAAGGATTCTCCTCTAAAATGGATCAGACTCCGTGAAATATGTCCTGGCAGCACATGGAGCAAGACCTGCTTGTTAAGCACTGAATGGAATTGTGGTGCCACCGTAGGGATGTTTGTATGAGGGGCTGGGAGAAATTGCGTGGAACGAGTTTTTAATATGCTGCGATCTCTCCAACCGTCTTATGAGAGCCCCTTCTGGAAATAATTAGAGCTGCTAAGAATTCTTAATATGATATACACAACAGCAGGGGCCTGATGCGTATCTCTTCCCCACCTGTCGTGCCTCCACCACCCATAAAGCGACACTAAAATGAGGAGATTTACAGCCCTCGGCCGACGGGGAGCGCTACAAATTTTTAAAATGGTGCTTTTGCCAAATGACAGCAGAACATAATGCAGTTGTGACAGCGGTGGTAGTTGGCAAAAGGGTTGGAAAGGAACAGCAGCTGTTGTCTTCAGCTGTTCCATGCTTTGGAAAGCAAAGCCTTCATTTTATTTTTATTTTTTCTTGGGGGGTGGAACCAGGTGCTTCTTATTTAGCCATGATTCAACCTCGGCTTCCTTCTAAGAGTGACTCAGACAAAAAAGTGCGCTGCCCCCCCCCCCGGTGGCACGAGCAAAGTTAGTGCCTGATCTTTGCTGCAACTTCTTACCCGAGACAAAGGCACCGTCAGCTTCCCTGCTGCCGGCGAGTCCCTGCCCATGATGCACCTCGTGTTGGCATCAGCATTGTCAGTACACCCCCTGGATCAATATTGGCATCAGTGCTATCATTGCAACCCCTGGATCAATGCACCTGGTATTGGCATCGGTGCTGTCGATACAACCCCTGGATCGGTGTGCCCAGGGCAGAGGCCAGCTGTCCTGGGGCACTAGGTGGAAGGAGGTCCTGAATGTACATCCCAAGGGGTGCCATGGGAGGAATTACCTGAGGATGAAGGAAGGAGCAGAGGATTGTGGAGGAGCTGAGGGTGCTGCTGGCCCGTGCGGGAGCGGGCTGGATTTTTAAGTCAGGCTTGTGTTGCAGAAAGGCCTGGGCATCAGCCAGGTCTGCGGAGGTGCAGGGTCATCTCCTGGCTTCGTCACAAGCTTCTGGGGCAGGTGGTGGCCGATCCTTTTTTGTGCCTCAGTTTCCTGCTGGTAACAGTGGGGGTTCACTGCCCTCCTCTACCTCACAAAGATATAACGATGTTAAAGGCTGGGAGGAGTCTGTATCTTGGACATGGCTGAAGAGGAAGGCAGGGAGCAGCTGAGGCGATGTTCGTCGTGGCACGGGGGGCAGGCCACACTGCCCGTGTTGGCTTGAGCCCTTCCAGAGGCTGGGGCTGCCCCATGCCTGGCCTGTCCGGGTGGGGAGCGCGCCTCGTGGCTCCCGCGCCTTGACGAAGCTTTTCCCGCCCTTTGCTGAGGGGAGCAGGCATCCCCCGAAGGGCTGCGTGCAGCGCCTTGCACCCAGCACCTTGCACCCGTCCGCGGGGCCGCGTGCAGTGCCTCGCACCCCTCCACAGGGCCGTGTGCAGTACTGACTGGCCCTTGCTATCTCTTCCCCCCGCCCCCCTTGGGGCCGTGTGCAAAGTAATGGGGCCCATGGCGGGGGGTCAGGCTGGTGCTGTCCTCCCGAGTAGCCATGTTTGCCCCTTTCCCCTCGCACAGCCCCGCACCCAGGGCAGCAAGCAGCCCCCTTGCTGGTCCCCCGCACCCACACCCGCCCCTTCCCACAAGACAGTGCACTCCCTGCCACCAACCATTCACTTGGGGGTGAAAGAGGGCCTGGAAATATAGCCCGGGGGATGCCATGGGAGGAATTACTTGAGGGTGAGGGAAGGAGCTGAGGCCTGCAGGGGATTCAGGGGGGAAAAATGGCTGTAAAATAACATTGCCCGTAGAAATAACTGCTCCCTTCTTGACACCAGCCGCCCGTGGGACGTTCTCTTCTGTGGCAGTGCCACCGACCAGGTTTCTGGCATGAGCCCCTTCCCCAAGGTAGCACTCCCAGCGCCACGGGACCTCGGGGGGCTTGGCTGTCTGCGGTCTGGCCACGCCGGGGCTCCTGCTGCAGGGGGAAGTGGGAGGGCAATTTGGGGTCTTATGTCCAGGACAACCCCTCCACTCCATGAGTGTAATCCACACTAGAAAGCGCTCTTGCTCTCTCTGCCCAGGAGGAAGATGCCTTGACGCACCTCACCACGTGCCGGGGAGCAGCGGGCCGAGATGGGCAAAAGAACCGGGCAGTGCGACACAAGCGTCTGATGGAGCGAGGTGCGGGGCGGCGTTGGGGCTGGGACCACAGGACACTGTGTTGTGTCCAGAGCGTTGCCACCTGACTAGCGTGAGCAAGCCCCAAATTCCCTGCTTTCTTAGCCCCGCTCGCTCCGAGCTAAGGGGGATCGGGACAGACAAGGAGTCCGCATCTCTGCCAGACAGCAGGGACCAGGCCTCAGGTCCCACCTGATGCACACCCAGGATTGCTCTCAGGCTCTCTCTCTAGCTTGCTCTTTCGGCTAGGGGCAAGCAAGGTGAGCAGGCATCTGAGCCCCCAGGCCCGCACGTAAGATGCTGCCGTGGATTTGGGAGTATCTGAAGCCCCAGGCTGAAGAGTCTGGGAGGGAGGAGACTTACATGGACTTGAAGGATGGACTCTGCTCAGCTGATTGAATTCAGAACTGATTTGGTTAATTTGGCCCGAGACATGAAATAAAAAATAAATAAAACCAGCGATCTGGGGCTTGTGTGGGAATGGGGAAAGGGTCCTACCAGGCACTGTCACCCTGCTCGAGACGGAGCCCATGCCCTTTCTTTCCCTTTTTGTTACTCTGGCCTCCTGGTACCCACACTTCCTGTGCTCGCAGCCATCCTTACGATGCCCACAGCTGAGCTCCAGAAAGCTGTGACCTCCAGCCTCCCCTCTGTGCCACTTGTCACGTCAGCTGGCAGGCCAGGTTTTCATGCAAAGCCTCGTTATCGCTGTTTCCTTAGCATTGGGGAGGTCCCTCCAGTTGTGTCACGAGCCTGAGGGTCTCACTGTGACCTGCAAGGTGGTCCGTTCTGAGGCCAGGCATGACGCTGCCAGCTCTCTAGGCTGGCTTTAACGCAGCTTTAAGATACTTTACAATTATGTGCATTGGACATCTGCCCAGTACATAAATGAGCTCCATATCGCTTATTTTGTTATTATAATGATTTTTTAAGTAGGTTTTAATTCTGTGAAACCACCTTCTATATGTCACGAGAGGCAATTCTCTACGCCCAGTTTCTGTGACAAGCGAAAGGCAGACATCAGCGTGTTTAGGAAGCATGGAAAGTGAGCAACTCCCTGGGTTGTGTTTAATCTACCCCATTATTTTAGTAATGAATGAAACATCCAAGATGCTTTCAAAAACTGAGCTGGCCAGTTAACAACAGTGCTTGTTTGCAAATGAAAGGACAGCTAGAGTATTACAGCACTTATCCATTTTCTTGTCTCTCGGCAAGAGTG